AGGAAGAAAATTTGAAGGTAGAGCCTCTGTTTACATGCATTTTGTCGTTTAAAATATGTTGCGGTCATATAGGAATAGTTATTCAAGTGGATGCATTTTTTTTTCGTTTGTTTGTTTGTTTGAAATACTTGCAAATAGCACTAAACGTAGTTCAACAATATAAGAATATAGATTTTCCCCATGGGTTTGTTTATAAGTTATTTTCACCCAATTCTAATTTTCCTAGCACTCCATACTCCTAATAAACATTAGGTAGTCAGGGTTAAGATTAGGGATTAGCTTCGGATATGAACCAAACTAGAATTTATTCTGAATTTTGCATGCTTGGTATTCAGTGAACAGGCAAAATAAATGGGGCGTTCACCCACCCTCTGAGCCGAACCTCTGATTGCAGTGGAAATTGATACTTTTAGCAGCAGTTTTTACTGGCTTCCTTGCTTCCTAGCAGCCAGTGATTCTTCCTTCTTTAGGCTGTCGGATGGGGATTCCTGGCTGACAGGTGAATGTAAGCAAAGGGACATGGACCACAACATATGTCCACGGCTCTACTTGGTCAATGGCTATTGCCATATTGGTCCGTGACACCGGCCATAAATAATAAGTGTTTTTTTCTTTTGACAGGATGCTTTATTATAATTAGCGAGGATCTGCAGTAATTGACAGTAGATTTAACACGTTCCCTTCTGACCTATAGCATATTGACGGCCGGGTGGTCATCTTCTGCCTGTGACTGGGTGTCATATGACATCCTGTGCATAATGCCGCACATGCATGCCACCGGGGGCATGCAGCATGGCCATTGCTGCCAGGCTGTGTCCCTCGGACACAGCGCTTCCCAGATGAAGGTAAAGAGCCAATACAATTGGCTTTTTACACGTGATCGGCTGTGACCTGTCACAGCTGATCATAAGTGTACACACAGCGATCACTCATTGTTACTATCTTCTCCTCCTCACACCGATCTTGTGTGAGGAGGAGAACCTAGGAGCAATGAGTTTTTCAACCCTTTACAGTAATTACTACTGTTCACACACTGCCCCTAATAAAGAGTCTCTGTCAGTGCCACCAGTGGATCTGTCAGATCAGCCCATAAGTGGATCTGTCAGTGGAGCCATTAGATGACCCATCAGTAGATTTGTCAGTACTGCCGTCAGTGGATCAGTCAGTGCCGCCATCAGTGGATCTGTTAGTGCTGCCATTAGTGTATCTGTCAGTGCAGCCCATCATTACACAGCCCATCAGTGGATCTGTCAGTGCTGCCATCAGTGGATCTGTCAGTGCCTCATCAGTGCATCTGTCAGTGCAGCCCATCAGTACAAAGCCCATCAGTGGATCTGTCAGTGCTGCCATCAGTGGATTTTTCAGTGTCGCATCAGTGGATCTATCAGTGCCACCATCAGTGGATCTGTCAGTGCAGCCCATCAGTACACAGCCCATCAGTGGGTCTATCAGTGCAGCCCATCAGTGGACTTGTCAGTGCAGCCCATCAGTATACTCGTCAGTGTACTTGTCAGTGCAGCCCATCAGTTCATCAATCAGTGTACCTGGCAGTGCATTCATCAGTGCAACCCATCGGTGTACCTGACACCACAGCCATCAGTGTACCCTAATCACTGTACTTGTCACAACTGCCGCCCATCAGCAGTGTACCCATCACAGCCATCCATCATCAGCAGTTTTCCCCTCATACAGCCACAATCACCAGAGCCGCAATGTTCATAAAATATTTTACTAGCGAGAAGGAGCTCAAAATCCTCAGCATGTCGGATGAGAGCAGCGGGGAGCTCTCACCATCCGATTCCAATTCCGAATACGAACCAGTAGAAAATAGTGGGTCAGTGACCGAATTGGAGGAGGAAGCAGTCCCTCCTAAAAGGATACAGCGCTCTGAAGAGCAGGCAACAATGAGCAGCGACATACACCCCAATGGTCAATCAACAGACACGAATGACTCTAGACGCCAGGATTAAAGGCCCAGTACCAGCACTGGAGCATCCCAGCAGACCCCAAGAATTTAGGGCCAAAACATATCTTTCTGACGCCCTGGCAAACCCTTTATGGCTGCCTTCCAGCTCAGGATCAGCTTTAATCCCACCTTTCACCGCACAGCCAGGTGTGCAGACCAATACTGAGAATCTTTATGAAATTTATTTTTTTTATTTGTTTTTCCCTGCCGATTTACTGCACTACATTGTGGACCAGACAAACCTTTTTGCTCAGCAGTATATTGATAACAATCCCAGTACATTCTATGCCTGTCTTTTTCTATGGAGAGGTCTCAAGGTGGAGGAGTTAAAATTGTTTTTGGGCTTTACGTTTAAAAAATGGGGTTTACAAGAAAAACAAATTGCATGCCTACTGGTCCACCAACCCCATCCATCATATGCCCATCTATTCTGCTGTAATGTCCCTGTCATGCTATGATCTGATCATGTGATTCCTGCATTTCAATGACAACTCACAGTGCCCTCCCCGAGATCATCCCAACTATTACAAAATCCGCCCCCTAATAAATTCTTTTGCTAAGAGATTTGCGGAACTTTATGTCCCTGAGCAACAAATTTGTGTGGATGAATCCCTTCGCTGGCCGGCTGAGGATTCAAGCAATACATATCCAGTAAAAGGGCCAGGTATGGATTGAAGATGAACAAGCTCTGTGAAAGATCTACAGGATACATGCATGCATTCCGCATGTACGAAGGCAAAGACTACCAGCTCCAGCCCCCTGAGTGCCCAACCTACATTGGCACAAGTGGCAAAATTGTCTGGGACCTGGCATTCCCACTGTTCCAAAAAGGTTATCATATATACCTTGATAACTATTATACCAGTCTGCCCCTTTTCCGGCATCTGTACCATGAGAAAACCTTAGCCTGTGGTACCAAAGGAAAAAATAGAAAGGGCTTCCCACAAAGTTTAGTAACCAGAAGGCTACAAAGGGAGAAATCCGCAAGTCTGAAAAACAAGGAAGTGTTGGCCATAAAGTGGAGAGATAAGAGAGGTATTTACGTCCTGTCCACTATCCATAATGACACCTTGGTGGAAATTCACGGAAGACACAGTCCCATCAAAAAACCTGAATGTATGCACAATTATAATCGGATTATGGGGGGGGGGTGGATTTAAATGACCAGATGCTACAGCCCTATTTGTCAACAAGAAAGTCCCTCTTCTGGTACAAAAAGTTGCAATTCATTTTTTCCATTTGGCCATTTACAATGCATTTGTCATCTATCAAAAGTCAACAGAAAAACGTACCACCTTCTCAAATATATAGAAGAAATGATCACTGACCTGATCTACCAGCAAGGATCTCCCCCCAGAAAACATTCGCTCTGATTGTGTGAGCAGACTTCACGAGCGTCATTTTCCAGAAAACATTCCACCCACAGAATCAGGAAGAAGACACAAAAAAAAATGTCGAGTATGCAGCAGAAATGGAGTTAGGGAAGACACCAGTGTTCATTGTCCACAATGTCCCTCCCAACCAGGCCTATGCATTGGAGCATGCTTCCGACGTTATCACACATCACTAGAATATTAGTTCCCCTTATTTTTAACAGCCTTCCATTTCCCAGTTTCTAAAAGGGGTGCTGATCATTTGCCTGTTGCCTTGATTGACCATTGACTTTGCCTTCCACGTTAACTGACCCTGGCCTGTTTACTGACAATGCTTTTGCTTGCCATCTGGATTGTTTCTAAACCACATTTCTGCCTTTCACCTGCACTGATCTTGGCCTGTTAATCGAAAATGTTTGTTGCCTGCTGCTTGAACTGATCTTTTGCCCTGCTACTGTAGTAGTGGGATGCAAAATAACACAGGGGTCTCACATATGTGAGGGGTTTCAGAGTAGAGAAAAGCAGTTCTTGGTTTTCACCGGGTTTTATAATTCCCGGATCAGGGTCTGTTAGTCCGAATGCTTCGAAGAGATTGGGTGGGACAAACCATCTACCCCTGTGGCCAGGTCTTACCTGACCGAGGCCCTAAGCCTGATGTTCCTTCCTGCTGCCTGGACTAATACTGTGCTGACCATATCTCTGCCTGCTGCCTGTAATGGCCCAGAAAGTTTTATGGACCATGTTCTTGCCTGCTACCTGAATCAGTACTTTGACTGTGCTGACCGTATCTCTGACTGCTGCCTGTAATGACCCAGGAAATTGTATGGCCCATGTTCTTTCCTGCTACCTGAACCTGTACTTTGGCTGTGTTGACCATATCACTGCCTGTAATAATCCAGGACATTTTTCGACTATGTTCCTGCCTGCTGCCTGGACTATTAATTTGGCTATTGCTGACCACGTCTCTGCCTGCTTCCTGAACCACTGCTCTCCTCTGCAGACAACTTCTCTACTACAACCACAGGTAACCTTCTGTTTACCCTTTGTTTAGCTAGGCTGTGAAAAAGTCTCATGCATGTGGTATCACAATACTCAGGAAGAGTAGCAGAATGTATTTTGGGGTGTAATTCTTGTTATGTCCATGCTGTGTTTTTAGAAATATCTTATAAATTGACAACTTTGTGTAAAAAAAAAAAAAATATGTTTTCACTTTCTTTCCACATTTTTCAAAAACTTGTGGAAAAAATGACATGTTCAAAAGACTCATTATGCCTCATAGAATATATGTTGGGGTGTTTGCTTTCCAAAATGGGGTCATTTTGTGGGTAATTCCATTGTCCTGGTGCTCCAGGGCCTTCACAAATGGAACAGGTAGTCAGAAAATGAAAAGTATAATTTATGCCCCTAGAACGCCTGATGGTGCTATTTGGATCTTGGGCCTCTGTATGTGGCCAGGCTGTGAAAAAGTCTCACATATGTGGTATCGCCTTACTTAGGAGGAGTAGCAGAATGTGTTTTGGGGTATAATATCATGTATGTATATGCGGTGTGTGAGAAATAACTTGTTAATATGACAATTTAAATAAAGGAATGCGCTAAAACCACAAACTATTCCTAATTTAGTGTAAAAACATTAGTGCAAAAGATATATATATCTATTCTCAATTTATATCAAAAAATATCAAAATTATGTGCAAAACTATTCCTTTTTAGCGCATTAGTAATTTAAATAATTAAATTTGTGAATAATAAAAAAATTGTCAAAATTTCTTCAAATGTAAACAAATCCTTTTCAAATTCAGGTGCTCTCAATTAACCAAAGTAAAGTTGGGTAACTCGCCAGATCTCCATGCTGATCAAGATCAGCAAAAAAAAAATTTGCTCTGGGAGCAGATGCAATAAATCAACTTTTTGATGATCAATAGCTACACAATCATCCATAAGGTAGGTATCCACTACTCAATAAAATGGTTCCAGGAGCATTATATCACTTCTCTCTTTTTATATCTTTCCACCGAGGTCATGTTTGGGAATGAAAGAGAAAATCACATTGGTGCAGCCAGTTTTTTTTATAAAAGTATCCAACAATTTAATAAAGATTTACACTCACAAAAAAGGTGTCTTCACCGACAATATAACAGCATAAAACAGCAAATGGTAAAACAGTCCCCTGTTCCCCGCACAATCACTACAGCGCTCGTGACTCGTCCACAGACGTCAGCATCCAGCAAGCCAAGCCCTACTAGTTTCGTCATGAACGACGTCGTTCATGACGAAACTAATAGGGCTTGGCTTGCTGGATGCTGACGTCTGTGGAGAAGATTGAGTCACGAGCGCTGTAGTGAGTGTGCGGGGAACAGGGGACTGTTATACCATTTGCTGTTTTATGCTGTTATACTGGTGTCGGTGAAGACACCTTTTTTGTGAGTGTAAATCTTTATTAAATTGTTGGATACTTTTATAAAAAAACTGGCTGCACCATGATTTTCTCTTTCATTCCCAAACATGACCTCGGTGGAGAGATATAAAAAGAGAGAGTGATATAATGCTCCTGGAACCATTTTATTGAGTGGTGGATACCTACCTTATGGATGATTGTGTAGCTATTGATCATCACACCTGAGAAGTTGATTTATTGCATCTGCTCCCAGAGCAAAAAGCGTTTTTTTTTTGCTGATCTAGAGATTGATCAGCATGGAGCTCTGGTGAGTTACCCAACTTTACTTTGGTGGTGGATTTTGGCACAATTTCTTTGAGAGCACCTGAATTTGAAAAGGATTTGTTTGGACATTTGAAGAAATTCAGAATTGGACAATTTTTTATATTCACAAATTTAATTATTTAAATTACTAATGCACTAAAAAATAGTTTTGCACATAATTTTGATATTTTTTGATATTAATTGAGAATAGATATATATATCTTTTGCACTAATGTTTTTACACTAAATTAGGAATAGTTTGTGGTTTTAGCGCATTCCTTTATTTAAGTTATAGCACTAAGAAATTTATTTGGTTTCTTTGAGGTGGAATTGCTGCTTTAAAGTATTAAGGGTGTGGCGCTTTTATTACACCTGTAATATGACAATTTGGTGCTAAAAAAAGAATAATTTCTTCAATTTCCCAAGAACTGATGGAAAAAATGACAACTTCAAAAAATTCACCATGCCACTTATTAAATAGCTTGGACTGTCTACTTTTTTGGGGGTATTTGTACTTTCCTGACATGTTAGGGTCTCAAGAAATGAGATAGACCATCAGTACATCAGGTGTGATCAGTTTATAATGATTGGTACCATAGCTTGTAGGCTCTATGACTTTTACACAGACTAAAAAATATACCCTGATTTCGGTTATTTTTACCAAAGAAATGTAGCAGTAAAAGTGTTGGCCTAAATTTATGAAGAAAATTTACTTATTTGCAAAACGTTTTAATAGAAACGTTTGCTCTTTTTTTGCTTATTAATAATAAAAATAAAAGACCCAGTGGTGATTAGGTACCACAAAAATAAAGCTCTATCTCTGTGAAAAAAATAATAAATGTTTTGTTGAGGTACAGGGTAGCATGACTAAGTAATTGTCATTCAAAATGTGAGAGCACTGAAAGCTGAAAATTGGTCTGGGCAGGAAGGGGGTAAAAGTGCCCAGTATTGAAGTGGTTAATAATGGGACATTTGTTGGGGTTTCTTTGCAAAAGTGTGGTTTTTTATCTATTGTTTACATTTTTTTTGTGAATGAGTAGTTGTGCCATGTACCCTTTAATACTTCTTGAGGGAGATGAAGTGGAAGCTGGTAATTCTCTTATTTGTAAAGGTGATTTCCAGATTCTGAGAGGCCTCTTCCACCGGGGTAGTGTTGTAGGGAAAAAGCTATTTTCTTCATCAATGTGGGGATAAGGTGTTATGCCAGGGGGCCCCAAACATAAGGATATCATTTACCCAATTTCCTGGGGACAGTCCCTATTTTGAAGAGTTTTCCTCCAGGAAACAAGTGCCCCCAGCTTGTCCCTGACTGAACTGGTGCAGTATGTAAATTGCACTGTGAAGACATCTCAGCTATTCTAAAATGGAACACAATAAACAGACACATGTGGGTACCCATTCACTGCTCATCTCCTGTATGTACAAATGCACCTGTATGTGCATAAGTGATAACATCCTAAATAATATTGTATTGGGTGCAGTTAGCTCTTTCATAGAGGCAAAGATTTTGTATAGTCCTGAACACTCTGTAATGTGTGCAGATTGATCTTCTTTGTACTGTAGGTGCTTCAAACTCTGCAAGACTGCACAATACGTTGCTACACTGGCTATACAGGAGGGATCCCTAGTCCACTGGTAATTCATCCGTTGGGTAAAATAATAAATACATTACTATTATTGTTATGTTCTCCTGACTAGGGATCAGCCAAACATACCTGTTCTCGGTTCGAGGCAGGTTCACCAAACTGTACTGAAGATTGGGTCTTGATTCCCAACCCTGTTGAAGTCAATGGGAGATGAATCTTAAAAAAATCAATAATAGAAGGTTTCTAGACTAAAAGGCAAAGAACTGTCAAACAAATAGCATAGGTAACTGGGCACTGCCATGGGGAGCATGCATAGGGAATGTCCTGAATCTGCATGTGAAGAAGTACATCTGTACAATGTATACAACTTCATACAGAAAAACTAACAATTACAAATAAAAAAAATGCTGTTTAAATGTGCATTAGATAACAGCTCCTGACTGCTTTACTCTCTCTTTGTAAACAACGTAGCCAGGAATTCCCTTCATCTTTAATAGACCCTTATTCCAGATGAGTCTGGTCTTAATGGGGGCTGCTGTTAGAAACCATGGGGCCCCATACAGCCAACCTGACAAGGCCCTCCCCAAGAAAAAAAAACAGATTATATAGCTTCAGTTATAAATGAACATAGTGACTGATCGGTAACGATCACACATTGTGTTCATTTAGGAAAGGAAGGGACTGGTAAATGTCAAATATTTACTGGACCCTTCTCCCACTCTCCATCCTGAAGGATCTTATTGTGTGCTTTCAGCTGCTGGGGGGAGGAAAAGGAGGGAAGCCGGTTGCACTGTGGGGAGTGGGGGCATGGAGGGGGGCCTGAGGAGCAGGGAGAATGGTACGGTGCACAGGGAGGGTGATAGATGCATCAGTGGGGCAATTACTGGAACCGATCCCTTGTATGGCTCTCTCTGCAGCAGCTGAAAGCCTGCAGGAGGTAGAAGAGAAAAAGCCAGCTTTCAGCTGCCGAGAGAGAGCCATACAGGGGATTAGTTCCAGTAATTGCCCCCTGCCATGCCCATTACCTTCCCTGTCCACGTCCAATTCGCCTGCTGCCTGGGCCCCCCCGGAAGGCCTGGGCCCCATACAGGAGGACTAGTGTTTCCCCCTTATCCACAGCCCTGCCCTGCACACAAAAACGTATGTTGTTCTCCCTAAAAATACATACCAGGTGACTTCCATTTTAAAATAACTTCTCTATGGTCATAGACAGTACAACAGATATGAACAGTAGAACAGTAGATAGAAATGAACAGTTTAATATAATGCCACAAGGAAACATCATCAAAAATACTCAATAACAATAATTTAGGGTCCAACCCAAGGCTTAGATCATGTGTATTACTAATGTCTGTCACCACCATGGACCAGAAAAGGTGAATACAGGGGCAAGTCCATACTATATGGAGGAAAGAGCATTTAGCTGAGTGAAAGCATGGACATGGGGGGCTGGCTGATAGATATATATTCACTAATCTCTGGTGTGTATAGTATGCTCTATCTAAAAACTAGAGTTGTATAAACTTGTCCCTGGCCAAGACCATATTCAAGACTTGCATATACCGTAGTCCCAGTCCTCTTCCTCAAGGTCTGGCAAACCATCCCTCCATTTCTGATATGTACGAGTTAGCTTAGTAGCATTTGCAAGGGAGAGTCTAATGTAAATGGAAGACAAAGGCTTCCCCATCACTTTCGAGGTAAGCAACTTCTTAATAGGATCTGATTCTAGAGTAAGAGCAGTATGGAACTGCATGTGAATTGCATGGTGTAACTTCAAGTAGCTAAAGAATGTCCAATTGGGGAGGTTGTACTTGGTCTACAGGGCAGAAAAATCCATTAGTTTTCCATCCAATATGATATGCTTCAGGGCCACTACATCTCAAGCTGAGAGTGGAGTTGACTCACAAAGGTGTGTGGAGGGAGAAGGAAAAGGGGGAGCAATACTTCTCTCTAGTCACGTGCCATATCTAAATGACATCTTTCATCAACCATGTGACTGCAGGGTGAAATTGAGGTCCTCTAAAAACTAATGTCACGGTAAGGTGTCAGGCTTGGAGACCAGTAGCTATAGCAGCAGAGACGCTTCCACCAACCAGCAGGATGGAATATAAGCAGGTCACCCTGGCAGATGACGAGGGCTCACCTGAGCACTAAATGGTATTCGCCAGAGCTCCTGATGGTGGAGATGGGTTTTGCTGCTTGTTTAGTAATAGGTTGTGGTCCTCAGGATCACCCCACCAGGTGGTAAGCAAGCCAGGGTCCAGTAGCAGATATAGCAAGTAGGGATCAAACTGAAGCATAGTCAGTAAACAAGCCAAAGGTCAGTAACAAGTGGTTGCAGGCTGAGATCAGGCAGAAGCATAGTCAAGGAACAAGCCAAAGGTCGGTAACGAGTGGTAGTGAAGGTACAGACTGCAGCAGGAGAGACAAGAGTGAGATATTTTCTGGAGAAGGCACAATAATCTGACAAACATGAACTGCAGAGACATGGCTTAAATCAATAAGTTCATGGGAGGAGCAAAGAGTTCACGTTTTAGCAGAACACAAGGCACAAGGCAGGATTGTCCAAAGGATCAGGCAGAGTGCCTTTCAGCATCTCAGATAGCTCAGTGAAAAGAGTTACTGCCAGACATAGCAGAGATGCCAGGTTCAGGTCCAATCACTGACAACTAAATTGCTAAAGGATGCATAAGGACCCACTATAGCTGCTGGGTCATCCATAGGTTGTGGATACCACCATCTAATTCCTACCAGCACTGCTCCCCAATTATATGCTTGAACATTTGTAAGAGACAGTCCACCTTGTGTCAAAGGGAGCTGTAATGTCAATTTGGTAAGTCTTCCCTGCCCACACAAAGTAAGTAATAATACAATCTAGTGTAGTGCAAAATTATTTTGGTATTGCGTATTCCTAAATAAAAGTACAGAAATTTAGGCAGGAAAAACATTTTATCTAAATTGACCCTACCAATTGACGTAAGTGGAAGGGGTTTTCCAAAACATACATCTCTGGGAAAAGTACCCAAGTCAGGGAAGTAGGTATAGGTCACAAAAACATGCAGGGAGCTACCATGTCTGCTTTGGCCAGGACTGCAGTGGGGACAGCTGCAGAGTCTCTGCCTTTGCCATCAAATCTGTAGGCTGACAGGTCCTGAAACTCCCCCTGTGTCTCCCCCCACTGCATTGTCAGCAGGGTCATCTCTTTCTATCATGAAAGAGCAAGCAAGGTAAAAATTCTCTGCCTGCTCCCCTCTTTCCTGACCTAAGCTGTACT